CCATCGCCGACAACAGTTCCATTCCATGACATCGTAGAAGGAATGACATCCGCACGCTTCTTAGACTTAGTAAAAGCCCAAAACACCTTAATAAATAAAAGTAGAACTAGCACTAGCACAATTACTATGTAGAACTAATACTATACCTAGAACTAGAATCATTTGGGTTTAGCCGCACGTCTGTACAGACGGCTAAACCCAAATGATTCTAGTGCTAAGTATAGTGTTAATTCTACATGCTAATAGTGCTAGTGTAAAACTAGAACTAACACTAGACCTAGAAATAGAATCATTTGGGATTAGCCGTACGTCTCTAAAGACGGCTAAACCCGAATGATTCTAGTTCTAGGTATAGTGCTGCACAACAATTGGATAGCGCTTATCAAAATGGAACCAAGCGCCAAATTTAAGTTTTGAGATAATTACTAATAAAGATTTAGTAATATGGAAAAAATTTTGCAGTTTGTATCTATGAGAAGTGGTGGTTTCAATAAACTTATTCTTATTTTGATTCTATTCTGCTAAAAAGAATGCTCTTTATGTCGCCAAGTTTTTTGTCAAAAATTTTTTCCCTTCAAGATACAAAACACTCAAGTTTGCCCAGGGATCACTCGTGGAAGACTATCCTCGTGTCCTCTTAGTGATATCAATTTCGCGATAATTATCATCTTGATGGGAATCCTTCAGAAAGATTTTATATGATTGGGATTTTTTTATTTTGATGACTCTGGCAGTTAACCAAGTAGCCTTTTCGCCTGTTGAAGTTACTTTCTTGTTGGTAATGAATTTTTTGATATCCTGTACACTTACAGAATGATGACTTTAAAGCTCTTTTTATATTTCCAAAGTCGGTGTCATTAGGGAGATAGCTGTGACCTGGGACGATATATTTGAAATAAATTGTCCTCAATGATGGGTGAGAGCTTAGAACTGCCTTTAAAAGCAAAATAATTTTAAGTGCTCCTCAATGTGTCTTTTTATACATGATCCAACTTCCTGCTCTCCCCTTTCCGGTATTCCTTCTTTCCAAACGTAACAGTATGAGGTTTTTGAAGAACCTGAATGGATGCCTTCATTATAGATAGAAAGTTTTCTTTTGTAGTAAATAATATTGGTTGGGAGCTTTGGCAAACTTAAAACCTTGTCCATGTCATAAGTTAATACTTCCAATTTGTTTGATTCAATTGCAGCTTTGAGGTCAGCGGCCATAGCATTACGAGCCTCAGATTGTAGCTCTAGATGTCGTTTGTGCTTATCTGTTAAGTCATTTTTCGTATTTAAATCTACGCTGTTGTTAATTTTAGTATTCAGTGTATCGCAAGTATTACAGCTGTCTTTAATGGGTGGCTTTCTTTTTAAATTAAACTGTTCATAAAATATCTTCTGGTATGAAGTCAAGACAAGTTTAGGATTTCCCTCATTTAAATAAAGTTTGATCATTTTATTCAATGTTAAATCACTGGCCAAGAATTTTGAATTGGTTTCACTACGCGCATAATTCGAAATGTATGTAGGAAACTTCTTAATTTGACAAATCACTTTATTAATCGTTTCCAGGTGATATTAACATTGCGTTTCCTTTTTAATCTCTTTTCGTTAACAGTGGCGGCAATAAAACCAGCTTGCACATCATAAACCTGAAGGCCCCAAAAATGATAGCTTTTGCCGATAGCTTTGCATTGCATTTCATGGGGCAATGGCAGTTGAAATCAATAAATTTTCTAGGCTCTTTAAGAATCCTTTTAACAGTGTAGTGTCTTGTATTTGAATTTTTTAATTCATTCCTGCTTTTAAATGTTTAACCAGGAAACTTATTTTTGCGTCCCTTTTCATTTCTAGTAGTTTCGGAACTTCATCAGTTCTCTATTTCTAGTAGTTAAATCATCTTCCGAAGACGAACATTCATCACTTGTGCTTGGGTTGAATTCACTTCCAGATTCTTCGAAATCCAAACCGCTTTCTGGACATTTTGGATGTCCTTATTTTTTCCTATATTTATATCCCTATCACTAATTTCTCCTTCCAAATCTTCAATTTCCTGGTTAATCAAAATAAAATGTAGTTTTACTGTTTTTAAAAACAAAATCTCATTATATCGTACCTGCACTGAATTTTCTTTCAACTCACATTCGCTTTTTTCATAGGACTTTTCCTTCACGAATTCAATTTACCGCGTATAACACAATCATAAAGTGGATTTATAGAAATGGCGTTTGTCGCTTGGTTTTGTTTTGACATAATAGGGAAATCTTCTTTTATAGTTATCGCTTGGTCCTTTGACCAGTCTTTTTGTCTGCCATTTTAAGTGCCAGTCGGTTTGACATTTAAAATTAAGTTAGCCCTTGGATCTTTTTAGAGTATTCCAAGAGCATAATTTCTAGTTGCTTGGTACCTTTAACTCAAAATTCAGAAACTGGCGCTTGGTTCCGTTTTGATAAGCGCTATCCAATTAAACAGTAGCGTTCTTTATTAGTTAGTTCTACTTTTAGTTAAATAAAAATATACAACAATCTAGCACTGAATAACAAATAAAACTAACACTTTTATATTAGCACTATTACTAAGTAGAACTAACACTACACCTAGTACTAGAATCATTTGGGTTTAGCCGCACGTCTCTAAAGACGGCTAAACCCGAATGATTCTAGTTCTAGTTATAGTGTTAATTCTAGTTTTATACTAACACTATTACCATGTGGAATTAATAGCCGCACGTCTCTAAAGACGACTAAACCCGAATGATTCTAGTTCTAGGTATAGTGTTAGTTCTAGTTTTACACTAGCACTATTACTATGTAGAACTAANCTCGTCTTCAATGTCTATTTCATCATCTTGCTCTCGTTTTTTTCCGAATCTGTTATATTTTTACTTGTATCATTTTTATACATAGGCACTGTTTGGATATTTATCCTGGGCTGGGGTAAATACCCGGATAAATACCCATTTTATAAATACCTACCCGCCGGGTATTTATCCAACGCCCATCACTGTGTGGAATTAACACTATACCTAGTACTAGAATCATTTGGGTTTGGCCGCACGTCTCTAAAGACGGCTAAACCCGAATGATTCTAGTTCTAGTTATAGTGTTTGTTCTAGTTTTACACTAACATTATTACCATGTGGAACTAACACTATACTTAGTACTAGAATCGTTTGGGTTTAGCCACACGTCTCTAAAGACGACTAAACCCGAATCATTCTAATTCTAGTTATAGTGTTTGTTCTAGTTTTACACTAACATTATTACCATGTGGAACTAACACTATACCTAGTACTAGAATCATTTGGGTTTAGCCGCACCTCTCTAAAGACGGCTAAACCCGAATGATTCTAGTTCTAGTTATAGTGTTTGTTCTAGTTTTACACTAACATTATTACCATGTGGAACTAACACTATACTTAGTACTAGAATCATTTGGATTTAGCCGCACGTCTCTAAAGACAGCTAAACCCGAATCATTCTAGTTCTAGTTATAGTGTTAGTTCTAGTTTTACACTAACACTATTACCATGTGGAATTAACACTATAGCTAGTACTAGAATCATTTGGGTTTAGCCGCACGTCTCTAAAGACGGCTAAACCCGAATCATTCTAGTTCTAGTTATAGTGTTTGTTCTAGTTTTACACTAACATTATTACCATGTGGAACTAACACTATACCTAGTACTAGAATCATTTGGGTTTAGCCGCACGTCTCTAAAGACGGCTAAACCCGAATCATTCTAATTCTAGTTATAGTGTTTGTTCTAGTTTTACACTAACATTATTACCATGTGGAACTAACACTATACCTAGTACTAGAATCATTTGGGTTTAGCCGCACGTCGCTCAAGACGGCTAAACCCGAATGATTCTAGTTCTAGGTCTAGTGTTAGTTCTAGTTTTACACTAGCACTATTACTATGTAGAACTAATACTATACCTAGAACTAGAATCATTTGGGTTTAGGCGCACGTCTCTAAAGACGGCTAAACCCGAATTATTCTAGTTCTAGTTATAGTGTTTGTTCTAGTTTTACACTAACATTATTACCATGTGGAACTAACACTATACCTAGTACTAGACTCATTTGAGTTTAGCCGCGCGTCTCTAAAGAAGGCTAAGGTATAGTGTTAGTTCTACTTTTAGTTCAATGTAAAATATACAATAATCTCATCAGCGCTGAATAACAACTAAAACAAAAACTAACACTAGACCAATAACTAGAAACATCCGGGTTTAGCCGTTTTAACAAACGTACGGCTAAACCCGAATGTTTCTAGTTCTAGGTCTAGTTTTAGCTCTAGTCCTTGATTTGTACATCATATAGACAACTCGGGGAATACCCCGAATTTATCTATAAACATGGAATAGAGCAACTTGGGTTGAATAAAATAACCCGAGTTGAATTTTGTCTATGATTTATATTGATCATTTATCAAATCTATGTATCAAATAGATAATACTAATAGTATGACTTAAAAATATTTTGTGCTTTATATTCGAGGTTCGTTATATCAAGGTTTTACTGTATTTGTTTTTTTTTTTTTAATATGAGTTTGGTTTTTGTAGAAAATGAGAGTTTTATAAGGACGAACGGGTCGATTGAGGGTTGAAAAAATATGTAACGCTCCCCCGTTCAGAAGCTGTTACACGGGTCATTTGCATATTATTACTGACACGACAACGTCCCGTGCCACCGTAACGTCATTTAATCCTACCCATAAGCCGGAAATGACATGGAAATGTATGGTGATGTCCATGAAAAATTGGAGGAGTTTATTAAAATTATTTAAATTAAAAATATTTCGTATTCTAATCATTCGTTATTGCGACAGACGAGATTATCCCTCCTGCAGAGCGTACTACTTAACAGCTTAACGGGACATTCCCCGTTGCATTCTGAAACGCATGCCTGCGGAGCTATCCCAGTTTTAAACAGTCATCCGAGAAGCTTTGCTCTAAAGCTACAAACTTGTCGAAAATTGCACCTGTTGTACGACTGCTTAGTTAATTTTGGCCGTTTTTCGTTTTAGGTATGCGACTCCAGGATAACGCAAAGCTCTAAGCTCATTACTACTTAAAGAAGAAGTTGTAGATTTGTTTAAATCGAATTTGAAGTTAAAAGAAAAATAAAAAAGGAACAAAAGTGGTGATCCGCGAACGTGAACAGCTTTACCAGCTTAATCGAATTAAACCGGTGCAATCTTGTTAATTTGAATAGTGCGTGGGGGGTCGTGTTGATCGCTGATATCGGGGAAAGTCATTGTGGAGTGGAACGTCGAGCAACCGATGGACTTGGATTGTGAATCCGAAGTAATGAAGGCTGAGGAAGAAATGAAAACAACGGGGACATCCGGTTCCAATCATAATCATTATTCAAGTAAGTAAGATTTTCTTTTAATTCTGGCGCCTCCACCATTTATTAATTGGAGTTAGAAAATTTCTTGACGATGGGTTTTCCAATTTCGTGTATCTTTGGAGGTATAACAAAAAAATTATACAAATATGTAACATTTACACTACAATTCATTTATATTTTACGATCCTATCGCTCGTTGAATAGCACCCCTTAACAATGATACTTTGTAGTCGATCTAAGACAAGACCTCCTCTTTTTTATTATTTGTTTTTATCGCCCCGGGCAAAATAAAGCAGTTGACGTTTCCGAGGACTTCAGAATTTATTTACCAGCACCCTCAAAGGCTTTTACTTCGCCACTAAAGTTCGTGGGAACGGTTCAACCGAAGATCGACAAGTCAAAGCGACCCTTTACGATTTTTTTCCTCGGTATTTCCGAATGAAACCGTAAAAAAACCACGCCGGACGCGTACTATCGTTGTTTTTTATAACCTCAGGTGGGCATTTTACTGTCGGACCGGGACTATAAAAAACCCAATTTCGTTTTATTAATTTGCCTGAAGCCTGGTTCAAATCCCCAATACATTTTCGATCATTTTGAAAATTCCATCAATTCTGTTTATTCAATTTATTATAAAACTAAGTAGTTGAATCTACAGAATTGCAAAACAAGGTGCAACCAAATACGTACTGCATTTAACAAATGTGTACATACCTGAATTGGTTTCATTACATTTGATTGAGTAGACGAAGCGGTTCTGTTCTTGTTTAAACGAATGTACGTCCCGCTGAACATGGTTTGGAGATTGAATGGAATTCCAAAATAATCCATAGAAGCCTTCAATGTACAGGTTAGGTTGGTACACGTTCATGGGAACCCCCTTTCAATTCGATAACCCAAAATAATCAAACTCACGGTCAACGGTATATGTGTATAGACACTGGGGGGGCTCTAAATCCCTTTGACGATGTTGGAACTGTGTAGATTGTGTTTGACGAAGACCACAGAGTAGTTATGATATCGTGGTTTGGACAGGTTTTAGAAAGGATCCTTGGGATTTAAATTTAATTTATACAAGAAAAATATTCAAGTAATATTTCAAAATAAACTTATTTAATGGATGGCTGTTATGCAAAATGTACTGGTAACAGGTGTGAAAAACAAGCTGGTCGTGCAGCAGACGACTAAATTGTAAGCACTTATGATAAATGGTGCAAAAATTCGAGCTTCGAATCTTGCCAACGAGACATTATACTTTGTAACGGTTATGAGCGGGATGTAGTATAAGAAACCGCAATAAAAAAAATGTTAAGGAAGGAAGTAAATCTAAATTGGAAGCAGATTTACTTATTCAGAAAAAAAGGGACGTTTGAGAAGTTGGAAAACTTCGAAATTAGAAAACTTTTGAGCAAATTATTCGAACTGCTTTCAAGTTTATCGTATCTATCATGTAGAAGGGTCGCTTTTAACCTAACCAACGATCCAAATATCTTGCCATATGAGTGGAACGAGAGGAAGTTAAATTGACAAGTTTTCAGAATTTTATATTACCTGAACAACGGATAATATTTTCTTGCAAACAATTTCAGAAAATTGCATTACAATTGAAAATCCCTCGGGTAATATAACTTTGGAAACACGTTCAGATTGCAACAATGGAAACTAATCTTTTCCCTCCGTGATCAATTTACACTTTTAGAACAATTGTTTTCTTTCTTATATCCGTGAAAGCGCATTGTATCACTTCAACAAAAGGGACATTAATAATTTCCTAAATGAAAAATGGACTTCCAGTTCGAGAACAACGTTTCCTGTCCCCGCCATTGCTAGTACAAAGTGCAATTAATAAAAAAGAGAGAAATTGGCACCGTTTCCGAGTTTGACGCCTACCCAAAACAATATATCAAGAAGACATCGTTTCAGGCATTAATCTTTCGAGCTAATGGTGTTAAATGTCGCCCTCCACGGTTCGGGACCATTAGGCAAACGAACGCCTGGGCTATCCTGATATTTTAAACGTCGCGCCAATTTGTTACCGTCGTTGAAACCAGACGTGGCATCCTCTATTCGAAAGCTTCTGTTCGAAATTAATCAACTCAGTTTACATAATTAATTTAAAAGTTGCGATTTCCATTTTTTTTTAATTCATGCCTTTATACATAGTTAATCTTTTAGTATTCATTCTGTGGAGTATTTCATTTCAAATTAATGGTATCAATTCTGTGTATCCAAACGGCTAGACTATTGTTCGAGCTTTACTTTAATCCCACGTTATATCTCGGGGTGCTAAACTGAATCACTAGGTCGTCTTCTCGTTACTGATCCTCCACTTGGATCCAAATGTCATAGACTTAAGCCTTAGCGCAAATAATACTCTACTAACTCATCCTTAATATGTCACGTTTTATCCCCAAAGCTTTTAGAAGATAATTGAATAACCTAAGAGTTACAAAAATAATTAATACTTTCGAATTAAAAATTCAGCAACATTTCGTTGTTGTTTATAAATATTAGTTTCAATCCGAGAAATAGAACATTTTTCAGAAACTCAAGATTCGTTCGTTACAGTTAGTAATCGATACCTCTAATATCAAATGCATGGAATTTATGTATACGTAGAAAGCTATTGCGCATGTATCAATGAAAATAGATGGAAGATATGATGTATATAACATGCGAAGAGCATGTCATAAAGACGGGTACTTACAAGAAATCGAGCACCTGATACACATTTTATATGATGTGCTTTAAACCGGTCTGGATAAGAAATAAAAATATTAAACAAATTTTGCACTTAAAGGTGAAATGTGTTTATTATCACTCTACCGGTTTCGCTCCTTTCGGAGCATCTTCAGGAGTTCCTAAAGTTATTAATTTTACAACACTTTCTATTATTATATAATTTTACATTTTAACTTACGTCAATTTTTTGAACAACTAAACATGTATGTGATATTTTATTGAATTAATTCACTATTAAAATGTTAATCTCTAAACATGTGCTATCATCAAAGCTCGGATATTTCGGTACCGTCTCAGTAGCGTCGACAGCGCAGAACCTATGGGGCACGATTGTAAATGCACTCCGACCACCCGATATACCGTTCCGATCGCTCACACATCTACAAGCACGCTAGGCCCAAGGTTTATATATAAGAGGTTGTCTAGGTTCGTACGCAATCATACTGCGCATTACGTCACATGTGGAAAATAATACCGCCAAGCAATTCAAATTAAACAAAGGCATGGAGCACCACATGGCCATGAGGTTGCGTGCGCAATCCGTGATCGCTTACGTCACGAAACACTCCTGCTCTTGCCCCTCGCCCACAAACTAAAATCAAAGTATTGCAGCATAGGAACTTAGACAACCTTTAATATATAAACCTTGCGCTAGGCCTACATTTATCCGTGTTGCGTTCCGAGTGTTCATTTAATATCCTTGTTATCTTCGTTAAAGCCATTTATTTTTATGAATTAGAAATGTACGAATGTTTCAGTTTTTATAATTTCAAACCGATTGATTATTTTATTTAATTATCGAATATTTTCTTGATTTTTGTTAATTAGAAGTGCGTTGTTGTTTTAGGTTTTGTAGTTTAAAACTACTTCTATTAAGAGTTAATTTTTTGATTTTTATTAACTGAATTACCATATTCAGCCCTATTTATATTTATAATTTATTTCAATGGCACACTTAATAGCAACTTTTGGCGATACGTTCACATTAATTGACGATAATGTAACATTTTGCAACTGCTGTTCGGAAAATATCGTGTTTCGTGCAAAGCGGCAGAAATTGCAGGTGCATATAGATACCAAAAAACATCAGCAAAACATGAAGGGACCATCGAGCAAAGAATTTTTTGAAGACATTTGCCAAGCTTTTGTATCGGCGAATATACCTCTTTCAAAGCTCAATAATCCTAGTTTACGAGATTTATTTAAAAAATATACCGGGCGAGAACTTCCTGATGAATCCACAATTAGAAAACTGTACCTTTTACCTGAATATGATAAAACCATTGCAACAATAAAAGATAATATATCTGATTCTTACATATGGGTAAGCGCAGACGAGACAACAGATATTAAAGGTAGATGTGTGGTCAACGTAGTGGTAGGTATTTTGGATCCTCAGAGACATTATCGGCCCTATTTAGTGTCGACGGAATTCAGAAATACCGTAAACGCAGAGGTCATATTTGAGATTATTAAAAAAGCTATTTTGAAAGTGTCCAATTCTCCGGAAAAAGTATTACTTTTTGTATCTGATGCTTTTTGTAACAGTTTTCCAAAGCATTACATTTAACATGTTTAGCCCACGGATTACATCGGATTTGCGAATTTATCAGGGAAACATATCCAGACGTTAACGTCTTAATTAACAATGTTAAAAAAGTTTTACTTAAAGCACCATTTCGGGTATCTTTATATAAAGAAATGTTCCCCAACTTGTGTCTACCACCACAACCTGTAATTACACGTTGGGGAACTTGGTTAGAAGCTGCTTTTTTTTTATTACCAAAATTTTGAGAACATACGATCTTTTATAAAAAAGTTAACAGACACTGCAATGAGTATTAAAGAATGTAAAAAAATTGTAGAGACGGAAACCTTACACAATGATCTCTAGTTTATTTACGAAAATTTTAAACAAATACCAGAAACACTACAGTTTTTAGAAAGACAGAATATTGAACTTGCTACGTCGATTTTTAAAATTGAGAGACTTTTGAACCAATTAAAAAATGTAGATGCGGATTTTACTACAAAATTGCAGCATAAAATTCATGCAGTAATTTCACGCAATCCCGATTATAATATTTTAAAAGAAATTGCAACCAATTCATTTTCCAACCAAGAAATATCTTCTACATATGGCCCGTTAGTTCCAGCATTTAAATTTGCGCCAGTTACCAGTTGTGATGTCGAAAGAACATTTTCTAGATTTAAAGACATTTTAACACCCAAACGGTCGTCATTTTCTGAAGTAAATTTAGAAAAAGTCATTATTATTC